ACCCTAGAGTAACAGAGGGATCTTGGGGTAATTATTCACAGATCCCTGAAGTCGGCAGAGCCTGTGAATGGGATAGTTAAGAAGGCAAATGGGACGTTTGCTTTCATCAGTTGTGGCAAAGATTTTAAGAACAAGGAAGTGATGTTGGAGTTGTACTGAGCATTGGTTAAGCCACAGCTGGAGTACTGTGTGCAGTTCTGGCCACCTCACTACAGGAAGGATGTGATAGCACGAGAGAAGTACAGAGAAGATTCACCGGGATGTTGCTTGGGATGGAGACATTGAACTATAAGGAGAGACTAGGTAGGCCTGGATTGTTTTCTTTAGAGCAAAGAAGACTGAGGTGGGGCATGATTGAGGTGTATGAGATAATGAGGGATATGGACAGGGCGAATAGAGAGTAGCTATTTATCTTTATTGAGGGGTCAATCATGAGAGGGCATATTTTTAGGGTAAGGTGCAAGAAATTCAAAGGAGTTGTGGGGAAAAAAAACATTCAGCCAGTGGTAGGAGTTTGGAATGCACCGCCTGGGAAAGTAGTGGAGCCGGAAACTCTACAACCTTTAAAAAATGTTTGAATGAGCACCTGAAGTATCATAACACTCAAGGATATGGGACAAGTGCGGGAAATTGGGATTAGTACACTTTTAGTGGTAATTATGTCAGTGCAGACCTGACGGGCTAAAGGGCCTTTTCTGTCGTGGATGAGTCTATGAATTCATTCTCTTTCATCTATCCTACTAATTATATCTTCAAAAGACACCAATAAATTTGTGAGAGGATTTTCCTTTTGTAAAACTATGTTTACACACCCACTGATCTCAGTTCAATGTTAAGACTTCCTTAACAATAAACTCCAGTACCAAATGTAACTCCCTGTTTTCTCTCTCCCTACATTCTTGATAGCCGATAGAGAGATAGTAGGAACTGCAGATGCTGGAGAATCTGAGATAACAAGGTGGAGAGCTGGATGAACACAGCAGGCCAAGCAGCATCAGAGGAGCAGGAAGGCTG